CACTTAGTTTAAATAAGTGACTCAAAAATAACAAAACCCTCTTATCTATTTTTTTCAATTATTGTTTACCTATCATAGACAATGATTATAAAATAAGGGGCACGATAATAAAGTCATTTGTATTTTTCTGCCAATGTAGAGATCTGAAATATATTTCTGTTTCTTAGACAATCACTGCCTTTTGGGCAGCTGATGCTGATGGAAATAAATTGCTCATACCCCACAGGGATTAAAAACTGCCATTTCAGGCTATGCACCAGGTCCCCAGTCTCTTAAACTTCCAGTTTAATTTGAGATGTTTGTTCTCTTTTTTTGAGACAGGGTCGTGCTCAGTTGCCCAGGCATGCAGTGGTGCAATGTAGACACAATCTCTTGGGCTCAAGCAGTCCTCTCTCAAAAGCCTCCCCAGTAGCTGGGACTACAGGTGCACACACCACAGCCACCTAATTTTTAAAATTCTTAGTATAGAGGAAGTCTTGCTATGAAATGCTCTTAAAGTAAATCCCCAACAGTGGTAATGTGCTAACAATACTGATAATAAGGACTTGTGATTCAAAATAATGACCTTGAAATATTTGTTAAAAAGCTTTGATCATCAGGGTAAGACTAACACTATGTTGTAAGGCAGAAAAATGAAGTCATTTTAGAACACTTTTTACTAAACAATAGTTTATAATGAGCCTTTAGTTAACCATAAAAGTACAAATAGGATATTTTAATTTCTTTCACATTAATCAAAGGTAGACAATGTTTAGACATTTTGGTAGTGTCTGTAAACTAATGTGTTAACAGTTAACAGGCGGTTTCAATTATGTACATAACATCTCTTTCCTCTGAACTTCCGTAGCACATAATTATAGTTCTTTTATGGAAAACGTAACATTCTCCCTTCCAGTACTGTTGTTTCTTTGTCGTTGTCTCAATAATATGTTCATATAGGAAAGGGACTGAGTCTTATTGTGTTCACTCCCCTAAAATAGTGCTTTGCACACAGTAAGAATTCAATACATGTTTGATTTTAAAACACGCTTGATTTTAGTCACTTGTTCAAGCAACATTAATTTCATTAAAAAAAATCTTTGGCTTTGTATCATTATCTCTAGAGTTGTCTTTTAAAATATTCAATTAAAACAATCAATATTTACAAATAAAAAGTTATGATTATAAAAACATTTGGTACATGAATCAAGTGCAAAAAGACACTTGCTATGCTTATTGTTACATGGAAATGACGCTTCTAACATTATTCATTCAAAAAAAGCATTCCAAGAAAAAATAAGATGAAAAGCATCTTGACTTCTCATTCTGAATTATGTCTCCCATAAAGTATTTAACGGATGCTCTTTGTATTACAATCTACTTAATGTTAAAATAAACTTCCTTGAGTATATGGCAAATGTCAAATCAAAAGAAATCTAATATTAATGGTATATTCGAATAGTAATCTAATGAACATGGTAATACAGAACCCCTTAATAATGACTTTTCTGCTGGGATTATAAACTTACAAATGAGATAAGGTATATCATAATTATAAATAATGATATTTCATGTCTTCATATTTCATATTGAAATGATTTAAGTCTATCATTATGATTATATTTGCAAAGTAAATTTTGTTAAACCTTACCACAGAATGGTAAGTTCAGTTAATATCAGAGGGTGTGCTTTACCATACTGAATAATTTATTGAACACTGATATACTTAAAGCTAAGTCTTAAGTATTAACTTTGCATTTGTGTGTGTGTGCGTGTGCACGCGTGTGGCCAAATATTTCAGGGTGGTGAAGCCAAAACTCTGAAAATTTAGGTTTGGCAAATAATGAGATGATGCATTTGGAACAGAAAGATTAGTGTAAGGTTTCAAAACAAATCTAGAAGAAGAGGATGATGCAAAAACCGACTAATGTAATAGGTAACGAAGCATAATCATATATACCATGTTAAGTGAAAATTTTACCTATATGTAAAGAAATTATGCAAAATGGATTCTCTTGTCTAATTTTGTACATTACAGACTTTGAATTTAGTAATCAATTCACTCAACACACATGCCAATCTATTGCGAACGTATTTAAAAACACTGTAGTTTTTTCTAATACTTTTGGTAGCTGTCAAGTATATGATATTTAACCTTTATTTAAACGGACTGAAATTTTACTACATAGAGATGCAGAACGGTCTCATTTGTTCTTACTAGTTTTACCAAAAAATTTCAACAGTGTTTTCCTAGAATCACTTAGGGCCATTACTCCAGTGAAATCTTTCAAATATCCCATAAAAATCAATGAAAGCATAATTATATAAATAAAAGATGCTTAAAAACTCTCCGAGGGTCATACATACAGCTCAGATATTAAACATTATCAGGATGTGCAACCAAGCCCCCATTTCTCACCTTGGAAGGTACACAAATCCTTCAGAGGCATCCTGTAAGGGGCCTTAGAGACTCTTACTCAAGCCACCCCGGCTTTAAACGCCTCACTCGCCACCTGCGAGCGGCGAAGGAGCAGCCTCTCGCGGCGGGGACCTTGCCACCAGTACCCTCGAAGGCCGAGGTCGTTCTCCCGGTCGGCTTCCCGCCTCACCCGAAAAGGAATGAGAGCATCTACCCAAGACAGTGACTGGCAGGGCGGATCAAGGTGTCCTGGTCTCGGCCCCAGCCCCGCGGTGCGCCCCCGCCCGCTTACCTTGACCGGGTGCAGGTAGCCATCGCCGCGCAGGGAGCCCAACCCGGGGTCCGCCGCCGCCTCGGCGTCGTCCTGCAGGCTGCGGGTGAGGTGCGCGATGTAGGTGGTGGCCAGCAGCAGCACGTCCAATTTGGACAGCTTGGTGTCGGGCGGCACGGACGGCAGCGTGCGCTGCAGCTCCAGGAAGGCGTGCCGCAGGGTCTGCACCCGGGTGCGCTCCCGCGCTGCATTCGCCGCCGCCGGCCGCCCGCTCCCGGAACGCGCACCGCCCCCGGGGCCCGCCGGCCCCGGCCCGGTCAGCCCGGTACTCGAGTCGCGGATGGCGGCGGCCAGGGGCGCGGGCTCGGCGCTGACGCTGAGAGGGCTGCCCGCGGGGCGGTCGCGCTCCATGGCAGCTTACCGCGCCGCACGCCCTGCAAAGGACCGAAGGTGCGGTGAGGCCGGGGGGTGGTCGGGCTTAACCCGAGAGGCGCAGCCCCCTGGTTCTCCCCGTGCGCCCACTAGCAGCCCAGCGGGGCTGAGGGCGCTCTAAAGCGAGCTCGTTTTGCCTGGGGCGCGTTTTGCCTCCCGACGTCTGGGGCGAGTTGCGGGGCTCCGGAGTTCTTGGGCTTCCTAGAAGGATGAAGAGAGGCGCGGTGCCGGCTTTGCTTTTCAGGGGCAAATTAAGCGAAAGGTCTACTCTACCCGGGAAGAAAGATCTCGGAAGCTCAGTTTAGGATCGGCACTCGTTCGCGATTCGGCGACTTTATCCAACCCGGGCGCACGAGAGGTGGCGCGGCTCCCCCTCGCCGACGCCGCGGAAAACCACGGCTCACCAGCTGCCCTCGGCCTTTCACGCCAGGGGGGATTTCTGCCCGAGGAGTGGCGGACCTTTAGCCTCACCTCGGAGTAGTCACCCGCCACCGTTCCAAGCCCAGGAGCCGCACAGTACGCGTCTGACGGGCCCCTCACCTTTCTTGGAGCAGCTGAGTGGAGCTCCGCTCTGCCGTGCGGCGGGCGAGGGGCGTGGAGCAGGGCCTGTGTGGCCAGGGCCGCACTGGTCACTCCATCCTCGTCCGGCCGAAGCCCAAATCGACGGCTGCTTCCAACTCACGCTGGCCGTGACTTTTATGCGGGCGCCCTGCGGCTCCGGCCGGCTACGACAGGTCGGGCGGAGGGCCTGGCCCACCCAAGGGGCTACACCAGGGGCTGAAGCGGCGTAGAGGGTCATTAATCAAACCGCCCGGTGGGTCGGGCTCAGGGGGCGGGGCGTCCTCCTGGCCCCACCCCTCGGTTCAGCGCCTCACGCTGCTTTTCCCAAGGCGCCTCGCTGAGGGCGGCGTGTGGAAAGTCTGGGGTCGGCTGCCGGCTGCGGTGGGGCAGGGCTGGAGGCCGCGGGTGAGGCCTGTGGTTAACCTCGCGCTGCCGAAGTCCTACCTCCTCGGGTCCAGTCTGATTCCAGGGCGCTTCCAGCTGAGGCGGGAGCGTTGCCGTTTGGTTGAGGGTGACTTTTAAGCTCTGTGAGGAAAAGTCGAGCGCGCCACATCGAGGCGCTAGCCGTTTATTCTACCACAAGGTAAAAGATTCATACTGTCCTAGTTACCCTAAAGCTGGGAGATACACTGCACTTCCTACCAGACCCCGAATGCTCCCGCTGTCCGTAATTCTTTAAGAAATTCCCAGAGCAGGCAGCCCTTGGATCGTGGGCGCTTCTCCCCGGGGACGCGGACCTTGCTGACTGCCTCCGCTGCCCGCGCGGGGGCCACCGCTCTTTAATTATTTGGACGAAACATTCTTTTCTGGTTTTGCTCTTGTGGACCCACGGGAAGCGTGACTTGCAGCGAGGCAGGACCGATCCCAGGCTTCTTTAGAAAGCGGGCACTGCGCCCCAAGGCCTGTTCAGAGTCGCCCCAGAAAGCCATGGGCCCCCGGCCGCCCCAATCCGCAGCGGTTTCTGCAGGTCCTGGACCCGTCGCCTTCGTAGGTGAAATCTGAGTACTTTCCAACAACATAATTAGAACACACTCGAAACAATGCCTGCAATTCGCAGAGTAGGACATTTTCTGTTTTTGTGTTTGAGACAGGGTCTCTGTCGCCCAGGCTGGAGTGCAGTGGTGCCATCTCGGCTCACCTCAGCCTCCAACTTTCGGGCTCAAGCCAAGAGCAGGATATTTTCTTATATTCTTTGGGGTCAATCGGAATATCAAATTTAAAATGCCACTAAAGAAACCGCGCTCTTGTATATGCACCATCATTTAATACTTTCCAGTAGATTTCTAAGTTGGAACTACTGTAACCAAGTCGTCAGCAGTCCTGGTGGCACTATTTGGATGTACTGGTCCACAAATTAAGTACATTAGTGAGTCAGAATGGCACTTAGGCTTTCATCTCAATTCCCACCCAATAACTGTAATTAGATTTACACTTTAGAAAGAAGCACACCAAAATTCCATTGATTCAAAAGGGGGCTCGGTGCGGTGGCTCATGTCTGTAGTCCCAGCTACCCCGAAGGCTGAGACGGGAGGATCTCGTGAGCCCAGGAGGTTGAGGCTGCAGTGAGCTGTGATCGCGCCATTGAAGGGACTTCTATTGCTGGATGAAAAAGTACATATTTTCCCAGTAAATTGTATGTAATGAGGAATAAAGCAACTAGATCCCTGAATTCACAGGCGGAAAGCAATGTTTCAGATTCTATAAAGCAGCAAATCAAACAATAACTTAAAAGTTTTTCTATGTGAGATACCATAAAGCTACAAACCCACAAAAGATATTATTGCCTAGTCCTATAAGGTTAAAAACAAAATCAAACATTTCCTGTCACTTGAGGCTGAATTTACTCATTTTCTGCAAACAAATTTTCTTTTTCTTTGGGGTTATGGAAAAGGTGAGGTTCATGCACATCATTTTTTGTCAGCAAGCTTTCAGATTGCTTCAAAGAGAGATTCCTATATTTATAGAGAGGGGGAAAAAGCATTAAATTAAAAAAATGAAAGTATCCCCAAAAGGTAGCAAACCTATAGAATCTAGGGCACAATAACAATATTAAAGGCTAATGATTAGTCACCAAACTGTGTGAATCTTGTTGGGCTTTAAAAAGGAAGCAGAAACAAAGATTTTCCTCTTGGTGTAGCGAAGAATGTAAAAAATCTGTGATTTGTGAGAGGTATGGAAAGAATATTAGAGGAAAGGTGGACCAGCTCTAAGATGAGGCAAATTTGAGGTGTCTGGGGCTTCTTATATTTTGCACCCAGATTGTCTTATAATGCAATATAATCACACATATCAATTTATTCCATATTGTTTTTAATATATAAATGTTTTATATGTATATAAAACAGTAGATTAATTGGTACTTTTTCACCTTTCAACTATTTCCCTCATTATTTAAATTGTAATTTACATAGTTAAATTCACCCTTTTCAGTGTAAATTCACCCAGTTCAGCAAGCTTTCATAAACATATGTCTTATAACCATCAATGCAATAAAGATATAGAACATTAATTCTCCAAAATTATCTTGTGCTGACCCTTTGCCGTCCACCCTTTCTCCCACCTTCAGTTTCTGGCAACTGCTAATCTGTTTTCTGTCTCTGTAGTTTGCCTTTGCTAGAAAGTCACACAAATAGAAGCATATTATATAGTATGTAACCTTTTGAGTCTGGTTTCTTTCACTTAGCATAATGCTTTTGAGATCCCTGTTGTTGAGTATATCACTAGTTCATTCGTTTGTATTGCTGAATAGTTTTCCATTGTATAGATGTACCACAGTTTGTTTATCCATTCCTCAGATGAAAACCTTTGGAACTGCAGTGAGTTGAGATTGCGCCACTGCACTCCAGCCTGGGCGACAGAACGAGACTCCGTCTCAAAAAAAAAAAAAAAAAAAAGAAAGAAAACCTTTGGATTGTTTTCAGTTTTTGGTGATTATGAATAATGTTATAAATGTTCAGGTACAGGTTTTTGTGAGTATACGTTTTCATTTCACTTGGGAAAATAACCAGGAGTGAACCACTAGCTGCTAGATGTGTTAAATATATGTTTACCTTTTTTTTTGTTTTTTTTGTTTTTTTTTGAAGGAGGCTCTCGTTGTGTCACCCAGGCTGAAGTGCAGTGGTGTGATCATAGCTCACTGTAGGCTTGAACTCTGGGGCTCAAGTGATCCTCCAAGTGATCCTCCCACCCTAGCCTCCCAAGTAGCTGTAACTACAGGCATGTACCACCATGCCCAGCTTAATGTTATAAGAATATGTCAAACTGGCTGGGTACAGTGGTTCACATCTGCAGTTCCAGCACTTTGGGAGACTGAGGTGGGAGGATTGTTTAAGTATAAGAGTTTGAGACCAGCCTGGATAGTATAGTGAGATCCGGTCTGTACAAAAAAATTTTAAAAATTACATGGGCGTGGTGGAACATGCCTGTAGTCTCAGCTACTCAGAAAGCTGGGGCAAGAGGATTGCTTGAACACAGAAGGTTGAGGCTGCAGTGAACTGTGTTTGAGCCACTACACTGCAGCTTGGGCAACAAAGTGAGACCCTGTCTCTCAAAAGATAAATACATAAATAAAATAATATGTTAAACTACTGTCCAAAGTGTCTGTACTATTTTTGCATTCCAGCCAGTAGTACACGAGAGTTCCAGTTGCTCCATATCCTAGCCAGCATTACCAGCTTTTGTTTTTTCTTTTTATCCATTCTAGTACATGTTATTTTTTAAGAAAAAATTAAATATTTAAAAATCAGATGATTTCATAACCGAGATATCTCACTTGCCAGCTAGTGTGATGCATGTCCATCTGGCCACACCATTGTGGAGCTGAATAGCTACAGTTGCCTTTAGTCGGGCATGTGCTTTCCAGTTCACCTTAGTCACCTCCTCACCTGTTCTCATTTATTAACTTCCTGTTCCTAAGGGTGGTTTTGTTTGAGAGTCCCCAGCAGAGTACTTGAGAGGCTGGCTATTGGAGTCAGTGAGCTGTGTTCAAGTCCTAGCTCTGCTCATGGCAATTGTGTGACCTTGGGTCCTTCTGATTGTACCTCTCCAAGCCTCATTTTCCCATCTATAAAATGGGGCTTATAGTATTCTTAAAAGAGTTCCATTGTCTTTTAAAATTTGTTTGGATGGGCCGGGCGCGGTGGCTCACGCCTGTAATCCCAGCACTTTGGGAGGCCCAGGCGGGCGGATCACGAGATCAGAAGAGAGAGACCATCCTGGCTAACACGGTGAAACCCTGTCTCTACTAAAAATACAAAAAATTAGCCGGCGTGGTAGCCAGCGCCTGTAGTCCCACCTACTTGGGAGGATGAGGCAGGAGAAGTGGCGTGAACCCGGGAGGTGGAGCTTGGAGTGAGCCGAGATTGCGCCACTGCACTCCAGCCTGGGCGACAGAGCGAGACTCTGTCTCCAAAAAGTAAAAATAAATAAAAAACCATAAATAAATAAATAATTTGTTTGGATAATGAAGAGTCAGCTTTCAAAATATAGGCATTTTAAAATGGAAAATAATTCTTTTGAATTAGGTCTTATATAACTCTTGTTCACAGAGTAAACCATTGACAGATCACAAAAACTAGCTTGTTTTAACTAAAACTAGTCTGTTTTAACTAAAAAAAGTTTTTGTTTTTTGAGATAAGGCCTTTCTCTGTCGCCCAGTCTGGAGTGCAGTGGCACAATCGCGACTCACTGCATTCTCAACCTCCTGGGCTCAAGCAATTCTCTCACCTTAGCCTCCCAAGTAGCTGGGACTACAGAGAGGTGTTACTATACCTGAATTTTTTTTTCTTATGGAGATGAGGTCTCACTGTGTTGCCCAGGCTGGTTTCGAACTCCTGGCCTCAAGCAATCCTCCCTCCTTCAGCTTCCCAAAGTGCTGGAATTACAGGCATGAGCCACCTGACCCAGCCTAAAAAAACTATGTTGCTTACCACTATTGTGCTTTTTTTGGGAAGGAGGGGAGTATCTTAATTTCAAAATGGTTCTTTGAGAACTGCAAATCCAAATATTAACATTATACCTACATTACTGATACACATAAGCTTATTTTTGCATATAAATTAAATAGACTGTTATGTTTAACAAAGCAAAATTTGCAAGTGAGTTTATATAACATAATTCCAGAGTTTTGTGACTAAAAATATCTGAGTTTTAAAAATTCTTTCCTAAGTACATAGATCTGTTGTTACAACTGTTCAAACAACCTTAACAGTGGTGAAGGAAGGTTGTTTTGACTGTTATTCAAGTTCACTTTTTAATTCAAAGAAATCTAACGCTTCCATATTCTAACAAAGGGTACTAGGTATTTTATAAATAGTTAATATACAGTGAATATTTCCTGTGAATTATGGGCCCCAGTGATTTGTATTCCTTAAAGGTATCTGAAATTAAGGGCAGTTTTACCCAGCTAGAAAGTTATTATTTTTACATTAACAAAAGAGATGGATTGACTTTATTAACATTGCTTGGGTTTGAAAGTTAGTTAAATAATCAAGTAACAATTTGTTTTTCATTGTATGGTGCTACAGAGTATTCTCAGTGGATTTTATATGCAATATATAAATGCATTTAATGTCTATTTTAAAATTACTAAGGCTCAAGCACCTCCTAGCATGTTTGCAAAGAGAGGAAATATCTGTCAGAAGTATTTACCGTGACAAACACAGAAAGAAGCAATAATGTGTACCTTTTTGTTTGTTTAATACCATATTTTAAAAAATTGAACAGTGAAGGCATTTGTTCAGAATCAGCCTTTAAATAAAAAATAGTTTTGACCTAATCGTTAATTAAAGTATACATTGATAGTATCAAGTTCAGTTTGAGGGTCAAAAACAACGTCAATGAGTCTGACTTTTTCCTCCCAGTAGGGAAAGGAGGCTTGTATAAATATACATGAGCACAGATTGCATGCATTTATAAAAGAGGTGGAAAACATTCCCCTGTCTCTGGACAGATGTTGCTTCATTGGCTCCACATACGATACAGGCACAGCCCCCAGTGTGTAGAACCCTAAAGGAGTGTGGGGCACATACCTTTAGCTTTTTGGAAGATGCACTGTAAGCTTATTTCCACCTCTGAGCAGGCTCCCCACCTTGAATATTAAATATAGAGTGTAGGGACATGTCTGCTGATGCCAGCTCATTCTTTCCCTTAAAGTAATTAAGGCAAGGGGTAGCTTTAATCAATTTTCTAGAAACTAAAAATCTGTTCTTTGTGTTTGGGCTGAGTATTTTGTTTTCAACACTTTACTGAACTTCTAGCTTTATTTTAGTTATCTCCTAGATTTATGTTATATTACTAAAATTAGCAAAAGGCATGCCCTGATAATCTATATCAAGAGTTTGATGAAACTGTAATATATTTGATTACCTTTTATTAAAGAGAGGTAGAACTGATAATCTCCTTTAATACAGATTAAATCTTTTGATATACTAAAACAATATTTTGGCATACCTAAGGTGAAAGTATTGCCTGAGGAAATAATAAGCATTTAAACATTTATTTAATGCTTTTTCACAGGATAAAATTGAAGGCTCAGGATTGAACATAATTGGCTTCACTTGATGGTGGCTGAGGCAGGACATTCTTATGTTCTCACAGAACCCTTCTGGTTTGCTGGTTTCATTTAGGATAGCCTATCTTTGCAGTACATAGCAGTTTGTATTTTTAAAAATGCATTTAGTTCTGTATTTAGTGTTCGTAGTTAGGAAAATGAGGGTAGAGTGATTTGATGTTTTATCAGTGCACTCCTAGTGACTTGAGCTTTGCTTGGGGCTATAGAGTATGTGGAATGGGCCACAGCTCACTATTGATCTAACAATGTACATGGCAATGTATAGAATTCATCAACATTGTTTTCTGAGGCTGTGTCATTTTTATTGTTTTATTTTCTTCCTTGATGATATACTAGCAAGATTTTTCAAAATGCTTGGCAAAGAAATAAAACCTAAGAGCACTGTTGTGGAATTGATAACAGTTGTGTAAACCTTTAAGAAACTATTGTTGTGCTATGGACAACTACGCAGTGGTTTGGTGGTAATGACAATGGACATAAGCAGTAAATGTCTCACATAGCTCCTGTTTTATTGTGAATGGAGAGGAGGCAATACCAAAACGAGGACTCCCTGCATATCCTTTCACTTCTTCCCCAAATAAAGCATTTTCCATACCCACAGACCTTCTCTCTCCTAAGACTGCATCCCAGCAAGCCTGAGCCACTCTGCAGGGAATAGGGGTAGGACAGTGCAGCAGTAATGTTCACAGGGCTTCTTGAAGTGGGCTATACTAGGCAATTCTAAATCATCATCCCTTGATGGGACCCTGCAAAGAGGGTCTCATGATAAGCCCACTTGACCTTCAGCAGGCAGTTCTGGGAAAAGGAAAACGATTCCAAAGTGTGTCCCCTGGCTCTGTTTACTTTCTCAATGAAATGTGCTATTGGCCTTTAGTATATTGCGATCACTAATCTGATATGGTTGGAAGGATCAATAGAGCAATCATTGTATTGATTATAAATGAAAAAATAAGTTTAATGCAAAATGTATAAGATGTATTAGGATCTGGTTTTTAAAGCCCATAGCATTTATCACACTATAGAGTAGTTATACCATATTTGACTCCCCAGCTTGTTTGTGGCAAAATATTTGAGATCAGGATTATCTCATTATCTCATTATCTCAAAACAGGATTATCAGTTTTGAATATAAAACTCAAATGAGTTTTTATATTCAGTGTTGCCCAGCATATGGCAGATATCTCATGTTTTACATATAAATGCAGTTACTTTTTGGTATGGATATTTATTTATTTAATTTATTGAGATGGGGTCCCACTCTGTTGCCCAGGCTGGAGTGCAGTGGAGCGATCTCAGCTCATTGCAGCCTCTGTCTCCCAGGCTCAAGTCACCCTCCCACTTCAGCCTCCCAAGTTGCTGGCACTATAGGCACGCACCACCATGTCCAGCTGATTTTTGTATATTTTTTTTTTTTTTTGTAGAGAAGGGGTTTCTCCTTGTTGGCCAGGCTGGTCTTGAACTCCTGGACGAAAATGATCTGCCCACCTAAGCCACCCAAAATGCTGGGATTACAGGCATAAACAACTGTCCCCAGCTCTGGTTTACTTTTCCATCAAAGCAATACCTTTTTTAAACCAAAAAGCAAATTTTTCCTCATCAGGAGAAACTTCTGTCTCCTTCAGAGACAACAGCTTAAAAATCTGGTTTGTAGAAGTGGTGAAAGTAGCCTAATTCTGTAGTCCTCTGGACTTTCAGCAACCATATGCTGTGCAGTCGCCCACCCACTGTTCATCAGCTAGGCCTCAGGCTCCTTTGACAGAATCCCTGATCATTGTCTTTACCTACTGCCTCTGGAACTTTTCTGAGTCCCCTACCTTACCTCAGTGGGTGTATCCAGTCTAACTGCCAAGTCTTCTGGAAACACCCCTTCCCACTGTAACTTTTTGACTGTTTGGGCAGACCAACAATGAACCTTTTTTTTTTCTTTCTATGTTTGGCCAAAAAAGATTGAGAACAAAGAACTAGGAGACAGATTGGATGGCCTCTGTTCCTCTTTGTTTACTGTGAAGATGTCTCCTCCCCACCAAAAAGATAAAGTCACATAAATATTTGAAAGAACCTACCCCATCTCTTCAATAATTTTAGTGTAATCTTCTCGGGAACTTTCTGGAGATGCATTTCCATTTACAGGGTATCTCTGTATTTCAGAGAAAAAGACTAATTTTGGCTTACCCACCTGTGGGTAATAAACAGGAACGATGTGATGCATTGTTTCAAAGTTACCTGTAGCACACAAAGAAATAAAAGCATTCTGCTTTGAAACTAATAACTGAATTGTAAAAAAGGGTATGACAATATTAGATGATCTAAAAATTAAATAGAGCTAAATGAATACACAGTAAAACTAGTAATAAAATTAATAACCCAAGAAAAAATAGTGCAGACTTTCATACACAAAAACCTATACAGGAAAGTTCTTGGTCAACTCTTTAAAATAAAATAAAATGGGCATGCCAACATTAATATAAATATTAACTGCCCTTAATTTTACTGTTCTGAGTTAGTTTATTTTTTTCAAATTGTTTCATTTGTAGGGAGTAAATAAGTCATGTATCTTTTTGGGGATATGTCCATACCTTTATTCTGGCACTTAACATTCCACATCAGTTACCTGCTTTCAGATCCTCCTCCCTTTCCAGCAGTAAGTTCCTTTTAAGTGGGGACAGCCCTATTCACCTCTAATCCACAGTGACTGGCATATTCTTGGACACATTTGAGGTGCTTAATGTTTACTATGATTTTTTCTATAGAAGTGCTATAAAAGAAAGTGCTAAAAGATGTGAGTATATTTTAGATTTTATTAAGATATTAAAGTACGTTTACAATTTTGTGTCATATAGCTATATGACCATACTTAGGATAAGATTTTTAAATTGTAAGATCCTTGAAGTTAGAAGTTATAATAATTCCTATAATTTTACCATAATCCCCAATATAGAGCTCTAAATTTACGAGGCTATCAAAAATACATAAAAGATTAGGAAGTACAAAAATTATTACCATCTTTTTAAGAATTCCTATTCCCTTACAATGTATTTGGTTGTGCAGAGGTGCCTTTAAAAGGTTCATTTTAACTCTTCTAAAGATCTGAAAGGTAGGTATACTGTAGATTTTGAAAATATATAATATATTTTCTAGATTTTAATTTATGCTTTCCCTTTCTCTTGCACAGTTATAAAAGTCTTTGTGTAAAGACCATATAGTCTGCTATTGGACATATACAAAAGGATAGAGTTATTGTATATTTATATACATGTATACAGGGATGTCACTGCTTTTAAGCCTGAGAGTTCCAGGTTTGTACCATCTGTTTGGATGGGGATGGCAAACATGGGCAAAGGGGAGGGAGGACCTACAAATGGCCAAGGAAGAATAACCAAGTACTCCTGAGAAAAGCTCAGAAAATTTTCTGCTGCAGCGAGTCAGTGTGTTCACTTTAAATTTTATTTTAATTGATTTTAGAGATGATTTTTTTTTTTTGAGACAGTGTCTCATCTTGTCACCTAGGCTGGAGTGCAGTGGCACGATCTCGGCTCACTGCAACCCTTGCCTCCTGGGTTCAAGTTATTCTCCTGCCTCAGCCTCCCTAGTAGCTGGGATGATAGGTGCCTGCCACCACACCTGGTTAATTTTTTTACTATTAGTAGAGATGGGGTTTCACCATGTTGGCCAGGCTGGTCTTGAACTCCTGACCTCAGGTGATCTGCCTGCCTCGGCCTCCCAAAGTGCTGGGATTACAGTCATGAGCCACCGCACCCAGCCGAGACCATTTTTCAATATAGTAAATTATGTAATCTATTTGAGTACTCCTTATAAAATTTTGAAATTTGTTTTATTATCCTATTTCCTCTAGCTCCTTTTTAGTTATAAAAATTGTTTACATATCATGTATTTCCATATCCGTGATTTTCCCAAATTCCCACCAAATTGAATTTCTAAGTAGAGCATTATTGCTTTAGATGATTAATTGTCCTTCTATCCCAGCTTAATTTAGCCTGTGCCCCCTGCTAGCTTTGTAAACTCAAGACAAGTCACTTCATTTTCTGAAACTGAACTTTCTCATCTGCAAAATGCATATAATAATCTTCTGCCTCACAGGTCATAATAATTAAATGCAATAATGTGTGTAAATATCTGAAATGTTTAGCACAGTAAATGTCAGTTCTTTTTTCTTCCCTTGCCCCCTCTTCTTTGCCTTTTAATTCCGAGTGCTTTCCATTTTAAATTATTAATAATGATCATAACAGCAACTACCACAAGGTCTGAAATGAAGCTTACAAACTATAACATTCTATACGGACTTTAAAAAATTGTAGCAAAACTATTTAACATGAGATCTACCCTCCCTTTTTTTTTTTTAGATGATATCTTGCTCTGTCACCCAGGGTGGGGTGCAGTGGTGCCATCTCGGCTCACTGCAGCCTCTGCCTCCCAGGTTCAAGCAGTTCTCTTGCCTCATCCTCCCAAGTGACTGGGACTACAGGCGCACGCCACCATATCCAGCTAATTGTTTTGTATTTTTGGTAGAGACAGGATTTCACCATATTGGCCAGGCTGGTCTCGAACTCCTGACCTCAAGTGATCTGCCTGCCTCAGCCTCCCAAAGTGCTGAGATTACAGGCATGAGCCACTGCGCCCAGCCAAGATCTACCCTCTTAACAAAGTTTTAAATGTATAATACATTATTATTTTACCTTAGGTACAATGTCGTACAGTAGATCTCTAGAGCTTATTCATCTTGTTTGGCCGAAACTTTATGCCCATTGATTAGTAAGTCCCCCTTTCCTCCCCTCATTTGCTGGCAATAGCACTCCACTCTTTGAGTGTATGAATTTAACTATTTTAGTCTTATATAAGTTGAATCAGTATTTGTCTTTCTTTGACCTGGCTCATTTCACTTAGCATAATATCCTCAAGGCTCACCCATGTTGTCACATATTGCAGAATTTCCTTTCTTTGTAAAGCTGAATAGTGTTCCATGTTCCATTTAATATACATTTCCTTTATCCATTCATCTCTCCAATGTCCATGTACCTAGTTTCCACATCTTGGCTATTGTGAATAGTGCTGCAATGAACATAGGAGTACTGATGTCTCTTGGAGATCCTGATTTCAATTCTTTTGGATAAATATCCATAAGTGGGATTGTTGGGTCATATGGCAGTCCTATTTTTAACTTTTTGAGGAATGTTCATACTGTTTGTTATAGTGGCTGCACCATTTTACGTTCCCACCAGTGGTGTGCAAGGGTTCCAATTTCTTCACATCCTCTCTAACACGTGTTACCTTTTTAAAAATAGTAGCCATCCAGGCACAATGGCTCGTGTCTGTAATACCAGCACTTTGGGAGGTAGAGGCAGGTGGATCACTTGAGTTCAGGAGTTGGAGACCAGTCTGACCAACATGGTGAAACCCCATCTCTACTAAAAATGCAAAATTAGCCAAGTGTGGTGGTACATGCATGTAATCTCAGCTACTCGGGAGGCTGAGGCGGGAGAATTGCTTGAACTCAGGAGGCGGAGGTTGCAGTGAGCCGAGATCACGCCATTGCACTCCAGCCTGGGCAACAAGAGTAAAACTCTGTCTCAAACAAACAAAAAAAAGCCACCCTGACAGGTGTGAGGTGATAGCTGATTACAATTTTGATTTGCATTTCCCTGATGATTACTGACATTGAGTATTTCTTCATATACCTGTTGGCCATTTGTATGTCTTCTTTGGAGGAACAAAAACCACTATTTGTTTAAGAGACTTTTCTTTCCCCATTGTGTATTCTAGGCACCTTTGTCAAAGATCAATTGATTACATCTGCATGGATTTTTTCCTGGGTGCTCTATTCTGTTCTGTTTCTCTATATGTCTGTCTTCTGCCAGTACCATACTCTCTCGATTACTATATCTATGTAATATATTTCAAAATCAGGAAATGTGATGCCTTCAGCTTTGTTCTTCATTCTTAAGATTGATTTGGCTATTTGTGGTCTTCATTGGTTCCATATGAATTTTAGAATTGCTTTTTTCTATTTCTATAAAAAATGCCATTGGGATTTTGATAGAAATTGCATTGAATCTGTGGATCACTTTTGGTCTTATGGATATTTTACAATATTGAGTCTTCCAATTCATGAACATGAGGTGTCTTTTCATTTGTGTCTTGTTTAATTTCTTTTAAAATTTATAAGCAGACATTGCAGAAGATGTCTTGTTTAATTTCTTTCATCGATGTTTTGTAGTTTTCAGCATATGTCTTTCACCTCCTTAATTAAATTTATTCCTGGGTATTTTGTTCTTTTGTTGTTATTGTAAATGGGATTATTTTCATAATTTCTTTTCAGATAGTTTGTTGTTAGTTTATCTACATGACTTGAAACATTGTTTTTGGGCTGGGCGCAGTGGCTCATGCCTGTAATTCCAGGACTTTGGAAGGCCAAGGTGGGTGGATCACTTGAGGTCAGGAGTTTAAGACCAGCCTGGCCCACATGGTGAAATCTTATTTACTAAAAATACAAAAATTAGTCGGGTGTGGTGGTGCACGCCTGTAATCCCAGCTACTCGGGAGGCTGAGGCAGGAGAATTGCTTGAACCTGGGAGGCAGAGGTTGCAGTGAGCTGCAATCGTGCCACTGCACTCTAGCTTGGGCAACAGATTACTCTATCAAAAAAAAAAAAAAAAAAAGATTGTTTTTGTTAGTTGGTGCTCATACTAGATTATAAAGAGATTAATAAGGACTGTTTTGAGAAAATTAAATGGCTAATTTAAAAAAATTTAGTTGAGACATAATTGTACATATAGGGTACATAGTGATGTTGCAATACATATAATGTATAGTGATCAAATCAGGGAAATTAGCATATACATAATCTCAAACATTTATCATTTCTATGTGTTGGCAACATTCAATATTCTCCTTCTAGCTATTTTAAACTATATATGATTGTTATCTATGGTCATCCTATAGTGCAGGGGTCCCCAACCCAATGGTCCTGGTCTGTAGCCTATTAGAAACTGGGCCGCACAGCAGAAGGTGAGTGGCAGGTGAGCAAGCGAGGCTTTATCTGTATTTACATCTGCTCTCCATCACTCGCATTACCACCTGAGCTCTGCCTCCTATCAGATCTACTACAGCATTAGATTATCATAGGAACACGAACCCTATTGTGAACTGTGCATGTGAGGGATCTAGGTTGTGAACTCCTTATGAGAATCTAATGCCCAATGATCTGT